GAGCTCCGGCTCAGAGATGGACCTGTAGAGCATGAAGCCCATCTCATCGATTTCCTCCTCTAACAGCTCACAGAAGAGGTTGATTTTGTGGTTGAAATAGGAAGGCAGGACTCCTTTCTCCAGGTAGCCCACCAGCTCCTCAAGCACCTGCTGGAACCGGTCAGCAAGGCTTTCCTCTGCCCAGTCCGAACCAGTGGCACTGAGGTGAAGGATGACGTGGGTCAGGGGGCTGCCGCCCAGTTTGTGCAGGGCAGGGTGGCTCTTGCAGACACCGTTGAGGATGCGGAGGCAGCACTGCCGAGCCCCGGAGTCGCCAGCATCCAGCTCCTTCACCTTCGAAACCTCCGCCTTGTAGAAACTCTCAAGCCAGAGGTTTTCCACCAGTCCTTCAGGAGGAGCGGCCAGGAGCACCTTGTCCTTCATTTCCACCATCGGGAAGAGGGTGATGCTCAGCTCGACCTGATCATGTTTGACTTCCAGCTTCAGCTCCTGGGAGGCCATGACCGGGTGGATGACACTCCCGAGCAGGCTGCCTATGGTGGGCCAGTTGATGGAGGCCACCAGCATCTTGTGGAGGGTCTTGTTGAGCATGTTGGAGGAGAGGTACCGGCCCACGATGAACCTGTCCCAGGGGCTGCGCCCACGAGGGAAATACTCCAGTTCAGTCCTCTTGATCATCCAGTACTGGGGATTCCTCACCACAGTGTCCTCTCCCGGGATGAGGCTCCAGAGCGCAGCATCGAGGACCACTGGCAGCATGAGGTGGATGTGGTTGGCTGCCAGAGCCCCAAGGCCGTCGAGCAGGGGACCGCTGAGGAAGAGGCTGCCGAAGGGCAGCTCCGGGCACTTGCTCCTCAGGAAGTTCTGCAGTTGGACACAGACGCTCCTGGCCAGCTGCGGGACGAGGGACGCTTGCGCATCGGGCACAGCCAGCCAGCTGCTGTAGTGGGAGAGAAGCTTCTCCTGCAGCGTGAGGCAGCGTGGAGGGCCGGATTCGATACGAGGAGTCTCTGGAGGGGCAGAGCAGACCCTGGGCTCTGTGGGAAAGGGATGGGGCAGAGGGGAGAGAAGTCACAGCTCCGAGCACATCACAACACACGGCAGCTTCTCCTGCCACAGCCGAGAGGGAGGCACAAGCTGGGTGCCACCTCTCGGGACGCAAGGATGACCTCGCCAAGAGGGCCACCACCACGTCCTCCGAAGTTAACAGCACTTCTCAGCCCAGGCAGAGCCCAAACCAACCTCAAACCCCGACAGCACTCACCCCAGCTAGAGAAGAGCAAACCAAGCTAAGTGCCAGCACCCAGGCAAGGGACTCGCTGCCAACGTCCCTACAAGTCTCAGCCCCAACTTTTTGCCCCTGCCATGCTCAGGCAGACCCAGCTTTTTCTTACGCCTGCCTGATCGCTCCAGTATCTCAGAACCTGCCCTGCACGGAGCTGGGCTGCCTTCCCACTTTGAAAAACGCAGTCTTTGTCTGCGGCCGGACAAGGCAGCCTTTGTCTGCAGCAGCTCCCGAGCGCACCTTCTCCAGACAGAGCTGACCCAGAAAACGAGCGCAGCAGACACCACTCGAGGAAACAAAGCCCCAACAGCCACCGTAGTGGCTGGGATGGTATCGGAGGTGCCGTTACCACAGGCATTGCCTAAAAAGGGGCCACGGCTTGGGAGCCTCCCAGGAGGGCAGGCGCAATCGGGTCGGCTTTCCGGTCACCGAGCTAAAAATAACGCGGAGCTCCCAGACTGCTGGAGCTGTGGCGCAGCCGGCCCAGAGCACACCGAGGTGATCTTCCCGGCCATGGTGGGAGCTGGCATCCACGCCGGGAGCCTCACCTGGCGCCAGTGGCCGAGCTGGAGAGAGCAGAGGCTCGCTGAGGTCCTCCCTTCTCTGCTTCTTGGGGGGTTTTGACGTCACCTTGATCAAGGCCAAGTCCTGCCAGCTCTCCTCCAGGGTCTTCTGCTCAGCTTTGGGATCGCCTTCATCACGAGGGCTGGTGGCTCGGTCTATCAGCTGGAGGGAGGGAAAACCAGTGTGGACAAGTCATTCTCTTTCTACCATCTCCCTGTGGTCACACCTCGAACTAAGGGGGACAGCAGCCCCCTGGTACACACGTGGGGAGACACAGACCCACACAGGGCTCCTGCTAGTAGAAGTACACAGTTTAGGGGGGCATAAAGGTGTGCGGCATCTTCCTGTGGATTTTAAGTGGAAAATGGGTATCTAATCCAGGTGTCCAAATGGGAATTGGGCCCGAGGTGCCTTTCTGGATAGGACA